GGGGGGGGGGTCTACATGATTGCCTGCATGTACAGCAGAAATAATCCAGAGGACAAACAGCACTGTGCCTAAAGAGCATTAATATTAGTGTAGACAAGGGACTACAATATTGTGCCTTTTCTGCACCCTTGTTCCAAGAACATTTGCTGGTAGACGCTCAGGTCTTCACAGAGGTTTGGTTAACAAAAGGAGAACTTCACATGACAGGCCGAGACTTCTGGATTAGTTTTAATGCTGTAAGGGAACAAGTCAAAGTAAGAACACCACAAGAAGGTCACAGAACATGTCTGCATTACAAGTAATTAAAGCGACACTAACTATACCTACAAAAAGTACTAAAACAAGTGCAACCCCAACAAACGGCCAGACTTTTTATAAAAAAAAAATTTAAAAAAAAAAAAAAAGTGGCGCTTAAGGTATAAGCTAAAAATTTAAAAAGCACAAAGCAGGCAAAGTTTAACAAATTACAACCACGGAAAAAAAAAAAAAAAAGGGGGGGGGCGGAGGGGTCTTTTAAATATTTTTTCCACAAACAAGCCCCGTCAGACTAAAGCAAGCAGCCCAGCAAAAATGTGGAGAACCTCACAAGCAAAGCAGTCTGAAAATAAAAATGTTAACATCGTTAATATTGACTTAAATTCAATGCGCCAGTGACCAACCATCCCTAAAGCTTTTTAAAACTGCACATTGCCAAAGACTTTTGTTCCCTAATTTCAAACCACTACATAACTAAGCATAACTGGCTTTTGATATGCACCCAAGCCAAAGGTGAGCAGAGAGTGGCTTCAGCTTCAGGGCTATGGCTGTGCCAGACAGCAGTAAAAACAAAAAGATATGGTGATGTGCACAGAAAAACAGTACATGGAAGGGGGGGGGTGGAGGTGCTGGTACCTTATCTACAGCTTCGTGTTGGCAGACTTTGGCCATACATACATACATACATACATCACGCTAATCAGCAGGTGACCGCTACAAACCCCATGGTTACCATCTAAAACTTTGACGTTTTGCAATAGTCAAACAAAGCTCACATTGAAAGTGCAAGCTGTAATTTCTTACCTTCAGATGGTCAACCAGATACTGCTGGGCTTGGATTAAAGTGCTTTTACTTGCATCAGGGCTTCTTGAAGAAACTGGAAAAATAGAGAGATAGAAACTCATAACTTGTCAGAGATGCAATTTGATGTGTTGCAGTTGGTAGTAACTAAGCATAACTGGCTTTTGATATGCACCTGCAGGTGACTGACACTGCCTTCTGTTCCGTTCCTTACCAATTAGTATACCTAACATCGGTTAATCAAAGGCTACATTGATCCATGGCTGTATTATCCATAATGTGGTTGTAACCTGAAATTCAGGAGTCATAGTTCAGGTTTCAATTAGTTAAGTCCACTTAAACATTCTCCACATTTCCAAAGGAAAGTGCAACTGAAGCTAAAAAGAGCTTGGAACTCTCCAGCATGCACCAGAATAAATCTCACGTTAAAGTCAGCTACAAGCGGACTGCCATTAAGGTACAGGATAACAGCACATTCAGCTCCTCCAAGATGCCCAGCTGACCTGAGGACAATGGCACATAAAGTTAATGTTGACCTTAATTCGCATGAAATTCAAAAGGAGTTTTTTGCAAAACTTGCTGGTTTTGATGTGGACTCTGGGACGAACTGCAGATGTGCCAGCATGTCCTGTGGTAGAATTCAGTTCGGTCAAGCCAAAGGTGAGCAGAGAGTGGCTTCAGGGCTATGGCTGTGCCAGACAGCAGTAAAAACAAAAAGATATGGTGATGTGCACAGAAAAACAGTACATGGAAGGAGGCGGGGGAGGGGGTGCTGGTACCTTATCTACAGGTTTGTGTTGGCAGGCTTTGGCCTTCATAAGAGTCAAGAGCACATTTAAAAAAAAAAACAATAAAAATTCTGCACGCTAATCAGCAGGTGAACGCTACAAACCCCATGGTTACCATCTAAAACTTTGACGTTTTGCAATAGTCAAACAAAGCTCACATTGAAAGTGCAAGCTGTAATTTCTTACCTTCAGATGGTCAACCAGATACTGCTGGGCTTGGATTAAAGTGCTATTACTTGCATCAGGGCTTCTTGAAGAAACTGGAAAAATAAAGAGATAGAGAAAGAAACTCATAACTTGTCAGAAATGCAATTTGATGGGTTGCAGTTGGTAGCAATGATCCAAATGAACTATTCTGCCTTCACCTTAAAGCAGTTGACCCAGTAATGAGACCAATATGCCAGATGCTGTAAACATACAAGGGACACAGGTTAGTCTTCAGTTGAACAGGGACTTCTCATCTAGGCAGCTCCTGGAGAATGTTCCTATGCCCTTGTCAGTACCTAATTGTAACAATTAAAATAACTAATTTTAAAGAAATACTGAGGGTTGTGTAAATGAGGTACAACTGCAAGTTGTAGCATTTAGCCATTTAAAAAGGTCAAACAAGGCTAGAAGGGCTTAGAACGCTTGCATGAGCCACATCAACGTGGACCGCAGCCAACGAGTGGACCTAAATCCTTAAGGAGAACAGTACATCCAGCTCCATGGTGTCCCGCTTACCTAGGAGAAAAACAAAAAAATGTAGTATTTGTAATTGCATGATTCAAAACGGTTGTACAGAAGAGCATTTTCCAAGTTTTAACAAGCACACCTGCTCTAACACCTCCCCCCAAGTTTTGAAGTTGATAGAGTGTGGAATCACTTTGTCCGTTGTTCAAATCTAGAGCCCAAGTCACAGCCCAAGATAAGCAGAGTATAGCTACAGACTTCTGAAAACTGTTTCATTACCAACGGTTCACCCAAAAAGGACTCCCTTACTCCTTGTGAAGTTGTCCAAATTGTTGGAGTTTCTTCTGAACACAAGATATTTTGAACAATCACTCTAACAGTGCAACACAGATTAACCATCTTTATAGTTCTTCCTGGTCCACATTGCTAAAAAGACTTACAGCTGCTTACAGATATCTGTACTCCTAAGTTTGGGGTGCACCTATACATCTGATATCTTAAGTGGCAGTGAATACATACAAACAGGCAACTGACCACCTTCTGTTTGCCTCTTACAAGTCTCCTTTCAAAGTAATACTCCTAGTAGTATAGGAGCAGAGGTGGCACTGAACCAATATGCACACGGAAGACCAGGAGTCAAAGTTGAGTTTCAATCGGAGTTCAGTGAAGATAAAGTTCTCCACATTTCCAAAAGGCCAAAAAGAGTTAGAAGATCCAGCTTTGATCCAACTTAGAAACAAGTACTTTCAGGTATAAGCAGGGGGTGGGTGGCAGGGGAAAACTAAAATTACCCACCACATACACGAGTCACTATGAAAAGTTCTGACAGTCTTCAGATGTTGCCAGAACTCTGTACTGCTACTATTTAGTTTAGGGACCACGCTTTACAGAAAACAAATACCTTAAAAGACCCAGTTAGATTACATTTCCACACCAGACATTAACTTTTTATTATAAGCAAACAGCAGTTTTACAACTTTTTCAGCATAATCTACAGATTTAAATCTGCAAGCTCTTTAAAAAGTTACTTATTGCAGGTCACAGGTTTGTCAAATCCTCAGATTACTTAACTGGGTGTCTGTGGTCTCTCCTGGACAAATTTGCACAAATTTAACTTGATTGTAAACTCAATGGATTTAAAAAAAAAAATAAAAAAAAAACACCTCAAACCTAAACACTTAGTTGTACATGGTACATTCCAAATATAGTGGTGGCAGCACTGACAAAGCAATTTAATATCGATAGATGTCAGTATAGGGTCTAAAACCATGGACACACCAGTAAGATCTAAGAGTCATGCTGATGCTCAGAGAGAGAAAAAAAATAAATAATAAGATTCCCTTCATGAAGGCACCATAACACATGTGAACCCAAAGGGTCATTGATGTACAACAAGTATAAGCCACAAAATTGTAATGACAGCAAGACACTAGAATAATTTCACAGCAACAATCAATTTAAACTGCCTTCACTCCAGAGAACATTTCACCTGTTGGTGCACAGTTCCTCGTAAATTCAGATCTAATATCACAAATACTGAAACCAGTTAACCTCACCAAATGCCACAGTGAAGTAAACCGTTTCTTATACAATGCCCAGGAAAGTGAAGGATCTGAAGCAAAAACCAGAGCAGATTATGTGAAACCCAAGACGTTCATATACTGTCAAGCAATAAGCTCTGCATTTGAGCTTTAAAAGTCTTACCACTCATTGTATAGTCAGAGCCCACATTACAATAAAGAAACGTTTGCCACTGTCACAGCTCTTCTAAAATAATTATTCCTTAAAGCCACAGTTCGTCTGTAGGTAAAACAAACACCAAGTTCAGAAAGCAGAGGAAATTATTCTTAGCAAAAAAATAAATAAAGTGAATATACCACAGATGAAAAGAAAAAACAGACGTGAAGGCAAAGGCATATAAGATATAGGCTAAGCTCCTCACCTGATGGCATTTCTCTTGATGGTGACCATGATTTCACCAAGTACAACATGTTCCTGGATCACCATCCTTGTTGATCCTGGCAAAAATCACGGCAACCTTCTCTTGATGCAGTTCAGCTGTCACATTCAATCAGCTTCACATGCTGTCTTCGTCCTTCAACAGGACTGTTAACAAACTCAAAAGCAACTCCTGATTGGCTCATAACATTTATTACTAGATATAGGTTCTCATTAATTAAAAAAAATACACAAGGTATATAATCACAAAAATGAACGAAGAAGAAAAGAGCCTACCTTTCAATGATTAAAGCAGGAATACTTTCAAACATGCAAATCTCTTTCAACATCCTTACACCACAACTGCCATCTCATACTGACAAACTTGGCCCATAGCTAGTGGGCATTTATAGTGATGGGCAAAACCATTGACAGTCACGCAAGCTCACAGTAATTAAATTAATAAAAAACTAAACTATATAACTATAATCAACAAATTATTTATCAGTCATGTATACAAATTCCATCATTGGTAAGGCATTCAAATAAAAAAAAAAGAAAGAAAAAAAATGTCATTTTATTTTTTTAAATAACAAACAACCTCCTTCATCCTCTGCACTTGGTTTCTCCCACCTCCCATAATGCACCACAGCACAGATATTCCAGACATTCCAGCAGTGCCTCTGGTTGCCAACCGCCATTAAATTTAAAAGAAGAAGAAGAAGTGCCTCTGGTTTTTCATCTGGTTTGCAGTAAATTGGCACATTTTGGCTGGTTTGAATTAGTGATGGGAAACTGAGTTTCGATACAAGCATCGGCACAGTGTGTGATACAATAGTGCTTTGAAAACTGCGTCGGAGCCTCGGAGCCTCTGTATCAATCATCCTATCACTAGTTTTAATTATATTGTGTTGTTTTCTAGTGGTGGTGAGACGAAGCTTCATCATCAGGCTGTGCATCTCTTTGACCATTAATCTTGGTTATTTGCCCCAAATTTGACAATTTTCTTTTCTGAGTTGGAATTGTCAATAAGTGTTCTTTTGTTTAATGTTGAAAGCTGTTTGAAGCTGCTAGTTTGTTAGGCTCACTTCAGACTCGTGGCGCCAGGATCTGATTTATGAACATTCTGTTGTCTTGGGCCTGTTTGTGGAATTCGGCGCTTTGGGTTGTTCAACACCAGAGTTAATTTAGTCAATGAAAAATATTCGTTAATGAACATTTTTTCTGTGACTAAGACGAGACGTTGACGAGCTAAAACTAATATGAAGGATAGACTACCAAAATGCGAACTAGCGATCAGAAACAATGGCCTCAGCACCCGAAGGGTTAGGGATAAGGTGACCAGACGTCCTGTATTTCCCGGGAGTCACAATTCGTTGTCGATTAACTTGAAGTTAGTGAAGGCGTGATAGGCGGAATAGCGCTGATAGAAGTGCTATCTCTCGCGCACACTCCACTTCTTCAGTTCTCATATACAGCGCGCGATCAGATCTCAGCTCTCAAATACACACACAGCAGTCCAAATGTCTATCGTGTAGATCAGTGTTTCTCAACCCTGGTCCTGAATGGCCCCCAACACTGCACATTTTGTATGTCTCCCTTATCTGACACCCATTTCAGATCCTGGAGTTTCTTTTAATGAGCTAATGAGTTGAATCAGGTGTGTTTGATAAGGGAGACACACAAAATGTGCAGTGTTGGGGGGCGCCCAGGACCAGCGTTGAGAAACACTGGTGTAGAGTATCTCACATAAATACAGTCGGTTATGGATTAAGTGAACGTAAACAGGTGGGTGAAA